TTTAATAATGTCATTTTGCACATACATGTATATATCATGACTGTACAAAACCTGCCCATCCATGGAAAAAACACAGGGTATGAAAGTACGTCAATATGATCTTGGATATTCTTAAATGACCATCATTAAAGCTAGATGATACTGACTTTGTATGTACTGTTCTATATAAGATCAGTCAAATTAATATATTTTAAATTACTTTTTGTGCATAGTTTACACCTGCTGGTGTAATGTTGCAATATCATGTGATAACTTCTTCCTCTTTATTCATACATGTATATAAGAATGGCTCTGTTTTTCGAGGGATTGGTTGAGTTATTGTCGAAATGCTTCTCGTCATCTGAGAAAATATAAGAAAAATAATTTAAACGGCCTGACGTGGACTTTCTTCCAGCCAGAATATGCGGACCATTATTCGTATTGAGCTACCGTTTACGTAGACTCCATTACAATTGACTATCCATAAATAATATATCATCGTGAATTTACCATTTTGGTCGTTTAAAATAAACAATTTTATGTAAAGTACAAATGAATACGCATTGTACACATTACGGTGCGTCAAATTCAGGTATGTGACATTTCGTTACAAGTAAGCTAGTCACTGATTGGCTGAAGTGTAGACATGTATTTTCCTGTCTAAAAATAGAAATATCGGTCTGAACCTACAATTTTAGCAGAGGTAAGAAGTGAGCGATAGTGGAACATTCGACCGATGCGCAGGAGAGTAATGGCAGTCAAACAAGACGTCAATAAAATAGAAAGTTTACTTGTTGTGCAAGATGTAGAATTAGCAATGAATCTGGCTTTGTAAGGTTTTCAGAATATTTGAACCAAAACTACAGCCAGTAGAGTGTTAACAAGCTTTTTCTATTTTTAGCTCCTGTGACCTAATTTTTTATCGGAGATAACCCATCTTTGAACTTGACCAAGAAATTATCAAAACAACCTTCCTGACAAAATTTCAGAATATTTGGGTTACAACTGCAGCAACTAGAGTGTTAAGAAGCTTTTTCTATTTTTAGATCCTGTGGCCTAGTTTTTGATCGGAGATGACCCATCTTCGAACTTCACTTAGAAATCATTAAAACAACCTTCCCGACAAATTTCCAGAATATATGAATCAAAACTGCAGCTACTAGAGTGTTAACAAGCCATTTCTATTTTTAGCTCCTGTGACCTAGTTTTTGACAGGAGATCACCCATCTTCGAATTTGACCTAGAAATTATAAAAGCAACCTGCCTGACAAATTTCCCGAATATTTGGATCAAAACTGCTGCCACTAGAGTGTTAACAAGCTTTTTCTATTTTTAGTTACTGTGACCTAGTTTTTGACTCGATCTTCAATCTCGATCTGTATTTTTTTGAGACAAACATTTTGACAAAGCTTGACAAAACTGTGACTGCCAGATTGTTAACAACCCAATTGTTGACAACGCACGATGCACGACGACGGACGCCGGACATAGCCCCATCTCTAAACCTCACCTAGACCACTTCGTGGTCAGGTGAGCTAAAAATGCTGATAATATGCACAACTATACATAGTATTCATCATTCCTGTACAGTTTGAATGAAATTGCACCAGTAGTTTCTGAGGAGTAGTCCAGACAAGCTTTGTGCGGCTGGAAACACAAATCAAAACCTTTCTTATTCAAGGGCCATAACTCGGCCAAAATCATTCAGACAGAAAACCTGTGTAATTTGCGCAAGTACTTGAGCCACTTATCAATCCTGTAAAGTTTCATTGAAATTGCGTTAGTGGTAAAAGAGATGTACACTTTTATAATCAAGGACGATACTTTTGCCAAAAATAATTCAACCACAAATCCCGTGTCATATGCACAAGTATTTGATCTATGGATCTATCCTGTAAAATTTCACTGAAATTGCTTTATTTGTTTATTGAAGATGAATATAAACGTTTTTCTTCGAACAAACAAATTTTAATAAATACCTAGTTCATATAAATTACACTGCTTCCCATAGTGGTGAACATTTCTATGGAGTTTTATTAGAATCCCACAATACATGTAGGAGATAGGCTTTGGACAAAATTGCAATATTTTTCATCATTTGTGACCTTGAAATTATACAGACCTGTAGTCATGCTAACGATCATTTGTGTTTCAATCCCTAAATAAATGATTTTTGTTCACTAACTGGTCCAAAAACACAGTCAATTTTTATTTGAAATTTTACCCTTATGTTTGACCTTGATCTTGGCGGAATGGACCTTAATTTTGCACGCGACACTCCACCTCACAATAGCTAACAATAAATCTTGTGCCATGTTATATTGAGATCCCTCTATGATTTTAGAAGTTTTGCTCCGGACAAGCTTTTATATGATCTCTGAATCTCTGAATGTTACCTTGACCTTTCACCTAGAGCCCTGGTTCACGAGCTTCATACACCTGTTTATAGTGGTTAACATTTCTATGAAGTTTTAAGAAAATTCCATGCTTTTAGAAGATATGCTCCAGACAAAATTGGACACGGCCAATTACCCAGACCGCCCGTCAGTGGAAAAACTATAATATGGCCCGTTTTTTTTAAACGGGAGTATTAAAATCCTTAAACCCAAAAATGCCAATAGTATGCACAACTAGGCTAAGCATTGATCATTCAACCGAAAACCCGTGCATTTACGCAAGTACTTGAGTTACAGATCAATCCCATAATGTTTCGTTGAAATGTTTATGATGGTGGCGTTAAACGTGTAGTCCGGACAAACTTTGAAATAAAGATAAGAAAATGGCCATAACTTTGACAAAAATGCCGATGAAACGGACCACTAATTTTCGTACTGAACATTCCTGTAAAATTTGGATGAAATTATTTCAATACTCAGTGAAGAGTAGTCCAGACTTTTTTGTTACGGTTGGACGGACAGACGACAGAGAAGTGATTCTACTTCTCTGTAGAGCGACATGAAAAACACGTGTTTCAATAAAACAAAGCACACACAATTGCACGGTACTCACCTATTATCTCCGACAGAAAGGCTTCGAAAGCTGCATCAACCTTGGTTCCACCCCATGCTCCTCCACTTGCCTTGTGAAGTTCTTTCAGATTCCCGTTTCTCAATACTTCATGAATGGTGATGTCTATTGTTCCGCCTTCAAAAAAAAAGAAAACAGTTACAAAATCTGATACTTGTTTCAGTCTCTTTATATTGTTTAGCAGCCTTTTCATGTCGTAACATATCTACTATGTATTGTAATTATGATATATTAATGAACAATTCATTTTGTGGTCGGAACGTTGTGTAAAAGTGACATAATGCTTATTGTTTTAACGGTCAAGTTCGTAATATATATCAAACGATGGACAATTTAAATGGCTATTGACCAATGTTTGATAACCAAAAAAATATACAAACTACCCATATAACAAAAAGCCTGCACCATTCTTTTTTATAAATTCTGAGCGATATTAATAGAGCTGTTCGTGAATCATGTGGATAATTAATGATCTGCGAACAGTTAAATATCAATTCGGACACAATTATGGCAAAATGCAAGGTATTTTGACTTTGTCTATGCATTAATCATTTTCACTTTGAGGGTATTTCTTAATTTAATGTTTATTTACATAGTGTACTGTATACAAAAATACAACCAGACAGACAAAAAGTCCTCATTGTAATCGATAGTGATGCGCAATGATATTGCTGACGTTAATTTATAACGATAAGCTGAAAATATTTGAAAAGAAATTTAAGTGCACATCTGATTCAGCAAAAACATTAGGCTATTTATTTTCGTCAGATTAAAAGAAAAATATAAACATAAATTTAGAACTTAAACTTCAAGAATTTTTCAATTGCTTAAAGCAGTGGCAACACTGAAAGCTTACTTTGTTGGGAAAAGTAATAGTGATTAAAACTTTTGCATTGCCAAAATTAATATATCTTTTTCAGTTTTAGCAAACCCATCCATTGATAAGATTAAAGAAATAACTAAAGCGATGTTTCACTTTTTATGGGCAGGAAAACCAGAAAAAAAATAAAACGCAATTCTTTTAAACTTAAAATCAAAAATGGTGGCTTAAAATGATAGACATTACATATTATCTTAATACAGTAAAAGCAAGCTGGTAAAAAGGTATATAAACAAAGATAATGAGGGTTCATGGAAACTTTTTGTAAAACACAATATAAAGCAATATGGAAATGAGTTTATCTTCCAATGTAATCTTTCAAAAAATGATATTGATAATTTATATCCACACAATTCGTTCATGAATGATGTTCTTTCGTCTTGGTTTCACATTCAGCATGAGCACAATAAAAACAAAGATAATGTTGAACTAGTATTGAATAATTCTAGCATTAAAATTGACAACAAACTGGTTAATTATAAAACATGGTATTATAAAGGCATACTTTATATAGAACATCTTTATGATTATAGGTGAAAAGCCTTTTATAAATATGATGTTTTTAAAAACATTAAAGAAACAGAAAATGCTGATTATTTAAGATACTTTATGCTTATAAACAATATACAAATTTAATACCTTGAGAAACTAAAAAACAACACAACTTATATGGAAGAACAAGATACGATTCTCAATAAACTTGAAGATGATGAGAAGGTAAAAAATAAAAATGATGAGTAACAGGAAAAAGAAATAGATAGAGAATTGAATTGGAATAAGATATATACTAACCACTACAATGTATTATAGATGTGACATTAAGAAATTGTCAGTATAAGTTTATCCATAGACTTACTGCAACAAACACTATGCTTTTCAAATATAATCTATGCAATTCAAATGTGTGTGCTTTTTGCTGCAGTAGTTTAGAAACACATCATCATCTATTTTTGGAATGTTATAATGTGCAAAATTTATGGTCAAACTTGCATTCTTTTCTCTTTCCGTTAACCTTCATTTTTCATACAGTAAAGAAACAGTGTTTTTGGAGAGCTTACAACCAATATAAATAGTAATGTAGTATATTTTATCATTATTCTAATGAAATATTACATTTTAAAAATGAATTATCAAAGAAGTAAGCCCACTTTTGATATTTTCAAAACAAATTGCTGTTAAGGATACAGATAGAAGAAGCAATTGCATTGACAAATGATAAAATAAAATCGTTTAAACAAAAATGGAGTAAACTATCTTACACTTTAACAAACAATACTGATGACGAAAACAATAATATTATGTAAATGAAACAATAAAACAAAAAAATTAAAATAAATGAAACTGATTCACTTGTCTCATTTCCCCCCCCCCCCCCCCCCCTGTGTGTGTGTGTGTGTGTGTGGTGGGCCTACGTGCGTGTGTGTGTGATTTTGTAAGAATGTTAGTTTATTAAGACGAGTGTATGTTGTATCAACCTAATGATAATGTGTTTTAAATGAGATGTATATGTAATATATTTAGTTACAAATGTTGTATGTAAATGTGAATGATTGTATTTATATGTTTTTGAAATATGAAATAAATGGGGAAAAAAAGTTTGAAAATATAATGTAGATTCTTTATCGCCTAAAACAAAAGTTTCGCCATCTTTGAATTACTTTGGCTTTATATTTCCATGTGACAAAACACGAAAGATCACAGAATAGTTTCTTACTAAAAGTTTACTACGACCTCAATTTTTAAAACATTCATAAATGTATGTGAAACAATACCTTAAGTCTATGTTTAACGACTATCTATACAATATTATAAAGTTTTACCGCCAGCATCTAATACCAGATACTTCTTCCCAGCTTGAAATTTAGACAATGACACTTTTTTCCGGCCAAGACTTTTCTCAACAGGCAGATGTCGGCAAAACAATGATGCTGCCTCAGGTTCGAGTGCAATGGTTAGTCTCTCCTTCGATATACCAGCCTTGAAAATAAACCGATATTTTATCAAATACTTAGTATAATCGGCTTCATTGCAAATGTTAAGCGACCTATACATTATTCAACGATAAACATATTCTTTGGTGTTCTGTACACAGTGAATCTAAAATCAGAACTTATTATCTACATTGTTTTATATTTTGTCTATAGCGAACTAGTTAATGAATAGCATATTGACTATAATTAACGCTTTCGGTGAATTTAACCTATAAACAACTTTGCACATTTTAAATCCTTCAAACCAAAACAAATGAAAATACAAAAAAAAAATTAGAAAGTTAATTGAAACAAATAATTACTTCTTCAGCGGCTTCCCTCATAAACTGCTTGGCTGCATCATTCCAAATAGCTGGAACTGTCAGTACCCAATGAATATCACTGTTTCTTATTCCATCATCAGCAATGCGTTTTTTTGAAATCTCAATCAGGTCATCTTTATGATATTTCATTGACAAAGCAAAAACAGTCTTTGCTTTTAATTTTTTACCGCTTGCATCTTCAATCATAATATTTCGTTCTATTCCCTAGTAAAAAAACAACAATCATATATTTAAAAGCTACTTATGGGTAACTCATCCTTATTCTTAGTCTCATGAACTCGTTCTACATAATGCAGATGAAATTACCAAGGTGTCACTGAAACTTTAGTTTTTCACAAGAATAATGACGATGTTCTTCCACATTATGTAGACGACAATCACCATAATCGCCATTTCGGGTTGCCTGGGTTCCAGTCGGTCGATCTGTTTTGTACTTCTGTTCGACAAACCGACAGCTGATCAAAACACGATCGAATATAAAATAGGTCATATGTTATGAAAATGCAAAACTTATCAAAGCCTGATTACTAGGCTACCTTTCGGGATATGAGGGGCAACACATCCTCAATATTACCACAAAAACCAAAGTCTGTTAGCAGGGAAACAATTTACCTTTTCGATTTTGGGATTTCAGAAAAGCATACCGTGCATCGAAAGT